TAGGGACACTTGCAGGGTCTGTAAAGTCTGACTGATTTGAGTTTAGGAACAGCAAAAGAGCAGCACTCAAAGGCCCTATCTGCACTATACATTTAAAGTAGTATCAGACCACTTTAAACAGTAATGGCTTCCCCACCACAAAGAAGCCTGGAAACTGTAGTCTGTTAAGGGGGCTGAGTGTTAGGCAGTCCCTCTTCCCCTCAGAAAGCTACAATTCCCAGTTGCCCGGGAAGAGTGATTGCTTGTTAAACCACTCTGTCCACTGTAGCTCTGTGAGCTCCCTTAACAAACTGCACTTCCCAGTATTCTTTGAGAGAAGCGTTCAAAGGATTTAAACCACTGTTTAAAGTGATATCACTTATTTCAACATCATCAGGTAAGCTTGCTTAAAATAGCCATTTCATAACATTTTATACAATTATGAAACGGCTAGGTTGTTTTTTTTTATTAAGCTGATGGTGGAGGCAAAGCAGTCATTGTGGCTAGAAGCCATTGATAGCCTTGTCGTCCTTGAAATTGTCTAATCCTCTTCTAAAGTTAGCCAAGTTGGGGGCCATCAACCTCTTGGCAAAGGAAGATCAGCATGGCCCCATCCATCGACGAAAGAAGGAGCAACTGTAATAGTAATCTATTATATATGATTTTATTTACACATATATACCCTTGAGCGGGTGGCGCTGTGGGTTAAACCACAGAGCCTAGAACTTGCCGATCAGAAGGTCGGCGGTTCAAATCCCTGCGGCGGGGTGAGCTCCCATTGCTCGGTCCCTGCTCCTGCCAACCTAGCAGTTCGAAAGCACATCAAAAGTGCAAGTAGATAAATAGGAACCGCTCCGGTGGGAAGGTAAATGGCGTTTCCGTGCGCTGCTCTGCTTTGCGAGATGCAGCTTAGTCATGCTGGCCACATGACCCGGAAGCTGTACACCGGCTCCCTTGGCCAATAAAGCGAGATGAGCGCCGGAACCCCAGAGTCAGTCACAACTGGACCTTATGGTCAGGAGTCCCTTTACCTTTACCCTTGATAGAAGTATTGCAGAACATTCCATCCCTAGATAGTCTCTTCTTGCTTCTCCCACAGCTTCAGCAAGCTTGGGTCCAGAGCAGAAGCCAGCCATGCTCCCCACTCTTTGGGTGCAGCATCTCCCAGCCAGCCTGCAATGAGTGCTGCCTGTTCTTACTTCTCACTTTTTCAAAAACCTTCTGCAAAAGGATATTTTTTTCCTGTGGTGACATCACACCCCTGTAACCCTGACAACCTCCCCCTCCCAATTCTACTGTTTCTGTTCACAGAAGGACAGCATTTGCACTGTCAATTGCTCTTAATGGCCCGGTACTCTGATCCCTTTGTTCCTTAATGGCCCCTCTATTAGCCATCTCTTGAACAGGAAAACCCGGTATAGCCTGTATTTTTACACTGCACCTGGCATCTTCCTTTAATACTCCAAATATTAGCCAAATTATAATATTTATTAAATATAAGAATTTAGGGGGATCTGCCCCCTCCAACTCATAACAATTATTTACTGGATAAGCTGAACAAAACGGGATAACTTGAGGAGAAATAAAATACAGTCGTACCTTGGTTTTCGCACAGCTTAGTTCTCAAACGTTTTTGCTCCCAAACACCGCAAACCCAGAAGTGGCTGTTCCAGTTTGCAAACTATTAAAGTTAGCCAAGTTGGGGGCCATCAACCTCTTGGCAAAGGAAGATCAGCATGGCCCCATCCATCGACGAAAGAAGGAGCAACTGCAAGGAACTTGCTTCCCTTCTAGAAAGAAGAACACTCTGCTCCATTTGAGGACATCCCCACTCCTGAAAGGTGGAATATAAAGAAACAAGCAAGCAAGCAACCACAGATGATATTAATGAGTCCACGAGTCAAGAATAGCACTACAACCCTTTCTACGGTGTGCAGTAGTAAGGCTTTTGGGCATTTTACTCAGTTTTGTCCTATTTGCATACAGATTAGAATAATAGAAGCAGAGTGTTGGAAGGGACCCCATGGGTGTGTGTGCGTAATCCAACCCCTTGCAATGTAGGAATCTCAACACACCCGGTTCCCCATCCAATTTGAATCCATACCAGACCCTGCTTAGCTTTGCAAATGTGCTAGCAGTTTTATTGCTGCACCACTAGGATTAATATAAACTATAACTTTCGTTTTCATAATGTGAACATCATTAGTGTGGCTTTGGTTTCAGCTGCTCCAGTGCAGCTGGTTACCTTTTTTAAAAACTGGCTGCGAAAGGTTGTTTCAGTAGCAAAAGCACAGGTCTCAAGAAAAGGAGAGAAAACTAGAGTGCAAGCAATTTTCTTGCACTGTCCTTGGATGACTTTAATCTCTTATGCTTATGCTAATTACATAGTCGACAAATATGTGGATTAGTCATAAATGGCATCATATTTTGTGTATATATCATAGATTACTTTCCCAAGTATTGCATCAGACTATGTGATTTTCTTCATTAAAAAACAGAACAACTTTCAAGTCTGATACTTTAAAAGTACATATGTAGGCCAGATTTTTCTAATACCAAACATCTGGGAGGTTTTCGATAAGGATGTTTCAAAGAGAGATTAGGGTAATATAGCCCAATATTTCCTCCCAAAGTGGCACATCAGCTGTTTTGGATTTCTCTTTCACTTCTGTCTTCAAGCAGAAAGCCCTGGTTTAATTCCTGGCATCTCCAGTTAGGGCTGGGAGAGGCCCCTGGCTGAAACCATGGAGGCTGCTGCCAATCAGTGTAGACAGTGCTGAGCTAGGTGGACCAGTGATTTAAGGGTCTATATTCCAAAATACAGTTGTCCTTTACTAACAGTCCCACCCCATCTGTGCATTGTAGAAACCCAGCACCAGTCCTCCTGTAACCCATGTTTTGAGTCACCTTTGGGAATGACTCAGTTAACCTGGCCCATATTTTGATCCTGTCAACATTTATTACTGAGGTCAGATTGCTATCAGCAATGGAAACTCCCTTCACTCATTTGTGGCAGTGAACACCAAAGTCGTGACTAATTACTAATTTACTCTGAAAAATGCTGACGTGCCTTTAACATCAGTGAGACTGAAGCATTTTTTTTTTCATTTGCTCTCCTGAATGTACGTCTCATGCTAAGTTTACAGACGTGTTCATGGCACCCCATGGAGCCAGTGCCCGAAGGGTAAGAGAGATTTCTAGTTCCTCCTGTTTGATTGTTGCTCTTGGCCACAAGGTTTCTTTTGGATTCAGAGTGTGACTTGGAGTGTTTTAGCTTTCAGATTCACTACATACAATTTGTTTGCCCCATCAGTTTTGAAATTTTGTTGGATTCCTCTGCCTCCTTTTGATATTTTTAAAACATTTCCAAACAGCCAGTTTTTCTTCAGTATGATTATGTAGAGAATATTTTCATATTGCTGATGTATGTTGTGGATTATTTTTTTTTAATCACAACATGCTAATTTTGCTCATATGTTTTCATTTTCTTTTTGCCATACTGAGTGTGGTTGTTGTGCTAGTTGGGGACGACTCATTGGCACACTTATAACCTGTGCCACTCCTACCAAGCCCTTCATAAAAAAGCTGCTCCCATTTCATTGCATAACCACCTACACAGGGAGTCATGGCAAGATTTATTAGGAAAACCATTAACTCATGTGCAACACGATGCCTCTCTCATCTCATATCCAAGCACAAGAAAACACGGCAGATTTCCTATTTGGAAATTATAAGCCTTCGGAGGAGTGCAGTCCTGTCAGCAGAGTCAAATAACACAGATGTCGTCCAGAGAGTAAAGAAACTGATAATATTGTTACATGCCAACCCCATTCTCTGCAGAGTGGTAGCAAGATTCCTCTGTGTGTGTGTGGTGCTTACCCAGGGTTGTGTTTCCATTGTAAAACTGATGCACAGTGGAGACTGTAGTGTCTTTAAGATATATGATTTTATTTACACATATATACCCTTGAGCAGGTGGCACTGTGGGTTAAACCACAGAGCCTAGGACTTGCCGATCAGAAGGTTGGTGGTTCAAATCCCCGCGACGGGGTGAGCTCCCATTGCTCGGTCACTGCTCCTGCCAACCTAGCAGTTCAAAAGCACGTCAAAAGTGCAAGTAGATAAATAGGCACCGCTCCAGCGGGAAGGTAAACGGCGTTTCCGTGCGCTGCTCTGGTTTGCCAGAAGCGGTTTAGTCATGCTAGCCACATGACCCGGAAGCTGTACGCCGTCTCCCTTGGCCAATAAAGCGAGATGAGCGCCGCAACCCCAGAGTCGGTCACGACTGGACCTAATGGTTAGGGGTCCCTTTACCTTTACCCTTGATAGAAGTATTGCAGAACATTCCATCCATAGATAGTCTCTTCTTGCTTCTCCCACGTCTTCAGCAAGCTTGGGTCCAGAGCAGAAGCCAGCCATGCTCCCCGCTCTTTGGGTGCAGCATCTCCCAGCCAGCCTGCAATGAGTGCTGCCTGTTCTTACTTCTCACTTTTTCAAAAACCTTCTGCAAAAGGATATTTTTTTCCTGTGGTGACATCACACCCCTGTAACCCTGACAACCTCCCCCTCCCAATTCTACTGTCTCTGTTCACAGAAGGACAGCATTTGCATTGTCAATCGCTCTTAATGGCCCGGTACTCTGATCCCTTTGTTCCTTAATGGCCCCTCTATTAGCCATCTCTTGAACAGGAAAACCCGGTATAGCCTGTATTTTTACACTGCACCTGGCATCTTCCTTTAATACTCCAAATATTAGCCAAATTATAATATTTATTAAATATAAGAATTTAGGGGGATCTGCCCCCTCCAACTCATAACAATTATTTACTGGATAAGCTGAACAAAACGGGATAACTTGAGGAGAAATAAAATACAGTTGTACCTTGGTTTTCGCACAGCTTAGTTCTCAAACGTTTTGGCTCCCAAACACCGCAAACCCGGAAGTGGCTGTTCCAGTTTGCAAACTATTTTTGGAAGCCGAAAATCCATGGGGTTTCCAGGGCTTCCGATTGGCTGAAGGAGCTTCCTGCAGCTAATCAGAAGCCACGCTTTGGTTTCTGAACATTTTGGAAGTCAAACGGAAGTCGTCTGAGGTCAGGAGAAAACTCATTCAGAACTACTTTCCCCCTCAGCTGTCAAATCTCAATGGTCTTCCTCACTGACTACCAACTCCCATTTATTAGAACTGCCAACCATTCAGAGTCTTTCAGTTCCTTAAATCACACACTGAATGTTCTATGCCAGGGAGGTTCAGCCCACAAGGCCCTGGGCAACATTAAAAAAAACACCTCTTAAAGCCTTAAAAATCAAAGTCTGATTATTGGTAACATGTAGTTAATTATTTACATAAATGTTTATTAGCAATATTGGTTTTGCTACATACATACACGTTTGTTTACAGAAAAAATACCAATTAAATATTAATATTAAATATATTGCAAACACTTTAATTTACAAAATGGGAGAATCGTATATTAAATATATGGACGTTGAATGCTAGTTTTTCTTTCATCTTACTGCTATTATGAGGATATCAGCATTCCCAACAGTATCAAGTCTGTGTGTTAATATTTCTCTTATTAAATACATGATATTTTCAATATTTGTAGAGCACTGAAAATGGGAGTATATATAAGGTAGTTTAATATTTAATGTTTAAACTACCACCAACACCACTTTACCCGTCTTTTGCAAATATTGTATATCCTCTTTTGCTGTTGAAACATAAAAAGTTAGCTGCTAAGAAGCCAGGAATAATAAAATGGGCATTTTTTATTTGGTTATATTCACTCCTGTATCTTGGTCCTTATTGGGATATTATTTCTTATGCTGTTCTTAAGTATCATGGCTAACAGGGTAAGAATTCAGTGTGCAGCTTCAGTCTACGACCACAGGCCCATTGTATAGTAAGGTTACATTTAATGACATAAGTGGAATCTATGGTAACTCTGTGGGCTGCTTATGGTTGCATTAAGAACTGTATTCTTCATTGTACTCCCTCTTCAGTCCAAGTTTATTTTGTACCTTATTATTATTATGATTACTTTTGCTGAAGGGCTCTTCACATGCAAAGTTACACCCATTTAAAGAAAGGTATGTTTTTTCATCAATTAAGTCAAACTGGAACAACAGGCCACGCAGAAACTCTTTGGGCTTGATCTTGCAAAGACTTATGATTTGCTAATGCATTATGCAAGAGATATGCAGTAGGATGAAGAGCGTGGTTAATAGATCAGGTGAAGCAAAGGTAACGAGCAACCTCTCTACCTGGTCTGCTGAATTTTGCTCCTCCCCCTCAGGCTTGCATAAGAAGCAAAATTAAGAGCTGCTGCAAGAGGATTGGATTAAAACTCAAAATGACCTAGACAATTACAAATTGATTACATATTAGAAGAGACTAAATGTAGTCTCTTAAAATATGAGAACAGTGACTCTGCAGTGCTGTTGCCCTAAAGGGGGGATAGGCAGGGGAGCAGACAAATCTGCTTGGGCTAATAGCTCAGAATAAATATATCCCAAAGTATGATGTTTCTCATGTATTCATAGGTCAATGCAATCCCATGGGAAAATACATAATAAACACATGTTATTGAATGTGCTACCAGTTAATTCAGATAGCTACTACCCACAATTTTCAATCAAGTATAATTCCATGGTTGCTTCTTAAGCCCTTTAGCTGGAAACACATAAGTTCCATTGGCCTCAGACTAATGTGTGAATTGGATATGGAGAATCAGGTGACCACTGGATGATGTTAGACTCCACTGAATATGCTATCTGGGACTGATGGGACTTGGCCAGGGATGAAGGGAGCTGTAGTCCAGCAACATCTGGAGGGCCGTGGGTTCCTCATTTCTGCTCTGCATAAACATGATTAGAATAAGAATGAAAAGGACCAACAAACACCAGTTACGTTATGATAGCAACTGCCAGTTACCTTATGGCAACTGCACATCATAAACTTATATTTGTATCTTAATACGTACTTCACACAGAAGTAGCCATTCCAGATGTTATTGGACTCACAAGAAGCCAGCACAGCTAATGGCCAGGGAAGATGGGAACTAGAGTTCAGCAAGATCTAGAGGAGGGGTGTGTGCTGGATATCCCTTGCTTCATAGGCTCCTTTGGGAGAAAGGTTGGGATATAAATTAAAATAGTAACAATGAATTTAGCTGAATTAGTCCACTGTTCAGATTTTGGGCACTCACTTCATTTTAACCAAAGGCCACCTCTTTCCAAATGGAGTGCCTTTCATCAGCTGAGACAAGAACTTCACTTGAGGTCTCACCAATGGTAGCCTGGCGACAGCTATCCATCAAGGACTGACTACTGTGATATGTGAGGCTGAGTTTGAAGGGCATTCAGGAATTACAGTTACTTTAAACACAGCTGTCAGGATACTGATTGGGACTGGTTGATGGAAATTTATCTCACTAGTGTTGAAAGAACTTCATTAGCTTCCAGGCTGTTTCTATGGTCTGGTGCTTACACTTAAAGCCCTCTATGACTTAGGATCCAGGTGCTTGAAGGAAGGCTTTTGTATCAACAATAACAACATTTGTATGACACCCATCTGAATGGGTTGCCCCAGCCACTACTGAGTATCTCCAGGTGCTGGTAACATCCAAAATAGATAGGTGCTGAAAATCTCAGCAATGGGGGTAATGATGGGGGAAATGCTCTCTAGTGTGTAGAATTCATTTAGGAAAAGTCTGGGTCCTGCTTGCAAGCTTCTCATGTGGTCAGCCACTGTAAGAACAGAATACTGGACTAGATGGGCCATTGGCCTGATCCCACAAGAACTTTTTATGTTCTCGTACAGAGTGGAGGATGGCTAATCATATGTGCTTTTATTTGCATTTCAGACTGAGACTGTTAATAGTTTGTACCTGTTGTCTCTGCTGCTTTTTATTTGCTGCTGCTTTAAATGGCTTTTTTTTATTCTTACTTTTTTATTCTTTTATTCTTACAGACGCTTCAGGTTACAGACTCCGCTAACCCAGAAATAGTACCTCGGGTTAAGAACTTTGCTTCAGGATGAGAACAGAAATTGTGCTGTGGCAGCGGGAGCTAAAGTGGTACCTCTGGTTAAGAACAGTTTCAGGTTAAGAACGGGCCTCCAGAACGAATTAAGTTCTTAACCCGAGGTACCACTTTATTCATATAAGCTGTGTTGCAGGCTTGTGCTGGAGGCAAAAGCCTGCCAAGATACAAACGGGTACAAAACAAATAAGTGCAGGCAGTCTTCTTGTGTTGCACCACTTCAGACCACCTGCAGTTGTCCTTTCACCGGTCAGCAGTACCCATAGCCATTTCCTGGTTGTCATGAGGGGCCTACGTGCAAGAGCTTTTCAGCCACATCCTTCCTGCATGGGCACTTCGCAGTGCAGTATTTAATATGCCCAAGAGCATCCCTTTGAATCTTGCCTTCCCGCCTTGGCCCTGTTGTTCTTGCAATCCTATTTCTGCCTTCCCAGAAGCCAGCTTCACGGAGTTCAAGGGGAGCTTACACCCAACCGCAGAAAAGGCAGCTTTTAAGACTGCAGCCCCGCGTTATTAATAACAATTAAGCACTGCTGCTCCGCTGTTCCCCCACCCCGCGCCATATACACAGCCACAGCTTTTGCGCTCCACTCCCCCCCCCCACAAAAGGGAGTTCAGCTGAGCTTTCTCCTCTGCGTAGAACGGCAGCCTCAAATCCCCCCCAGCTCCGCGCATGCTTACTTGGAAGCCCACCTCGCGCTCACTCGCGGGGTGTTTCTGCTTCTTCCAAATTAGGACGGCAGCCGCGGCAGCGGCACCTTTTCCTCAGAAGAGTTTCCCGCCCAAACCGCCCCCTGCCTCGCGCTGGGCGGGCCTGAGGGCGGGCCGAGGAGCGAGGGGGGCCGGGCCGCGCGCGCCTCTTTCCCTTCCCCTCGTTTTCTCCTCATGCCCGCAAAGCTGTTGTTGCCGCCGCCGCCGCCAACACGGCTGGAGCGGGCGGGATGGAGAAAGGAGGCGGTGGGTGTCGCCCCCCGTGAATTCTTCCTCAGTCGGTAGGAGAAGCAGCAGCAGGAGGAGGAGTCTGTGGTGCCAACGGGTATGTTGCCGTCCCTTCTGTCTGCACGTCCCCAGACCCGCCTGAGGGAAAGCGAGAATAGGCTTTGCCTCTTCCATGAACCCTCATCCCGGCGGGAGGGATGGTGCTACTGTCCCCTGCGCCTTTTTTGCCTTTTAAAATCGGTTCTAAATTCAGTTTTCCTGAAACTTGTCTCTCCCCCCCCACCCCTCTCTTGGCTGGCCGGGGATTATTTTACCAAGGGTATAAGATGAGATCCGTATCATCAGCCGCGAGGGAAAAGCGCTCTGTACGTGGTCAGAGGCGTCCTTGGTCTCTCGTTCGAGGCAGAATATACTGATTCCTCTTGGTTGAAAGCAGAAGGTATGAGCTTGGAGGTAGGGATGCCAAGGCTGGAGTTTGCGTTTTTCGTGATTCAAGAGAAGGTCCCTGGTTCCTTTGTGGTGGAAAGCGTTCTGGGCATGTTCAGAGGAACTGTCGTCTTCCAGTACTTTTTGTGCGTTTCGGCAGACCTGTTAACGCAAAATAAATTATGGGGCAGAACCATGGAGTGGGGAAGCTTGTAAAGCCCAAGGCTTTGGGGGGGGGCACATGCCAGTGGTGGGCAAGCCTTGAGGGAAATGTGAGCTGAGCAAAGAATGTGAATTTTTCCCTCGGTACGACAGGCCAGCTTGCTACACATGCTTGTACACTTCTGTTTATCCTCCATCCATGGAAGCAAGAGGCGTTATCAGAGTTCAAGAGCCAGTGCGGTTAGAGTGTTGGACTGGGGAGACCAGGGTTCAGATCTCCACACAGCCATGAAGCTCACTGGGTGACCCTGGGACAGTCACCGACTCTCAGCCCTAACCTACCTTGCAAGGTTGTGGTTAGGATAAAATAGGGAGGAGAACTGTGTGTGTAACCTTGAGCTCCTTGGAGGAAAGTTGGAACAGAAATGTAAAAGTAAGTAAATAAAATGCTCCAGCCAGGCCGAAAGAAAAAGAAAAAGGTGGAAAGCAGGGCCAGAGGAAGAGCCTTGGAGGGCCACACTCTGCCTGTGGGCCTGAAAGTCTCTGCCCCTCATTTAAGTTTTGTCAGTAGGTGAGTTAAAAGCAGAGTATCTTAAAGGTGTAGCAGCCGAATTCATTGAGGTGGCAGTGTGAGGGCAATATGTTCAAGGCTTGGAACCTAGTGACTATGGCCTAAGTGGCACAATCCTGCTTTTCTGAGCCTATATGTGGAGGAGAGAGATGGAGAATGTCACAAAGTCATTATTTCCCAGCCCACATTTGACTATTGGCATCTTTGGCAGGGTGCCCAGCAGGGCATCATATCTCATGGAGTCTCCACTAGATGTGCACTTGTTGTACCGGTATTTTGCTTGCCAGATCACCCCCGCCCCCAACCCTTTAGCCAGATTTCTGTTAGGTCCCTGGGGCATTAACAGCAGTCAATCATGTTGGACTTCCATGGTCTCTTTTCCACTCTCTTCCCTCACCCTGCTTGCTGTTTTCCCAAAGCCATGCCATGCCCCTCTGTGCTTCTAGTCATTGCCCAGCTGTTGAAATCTAACAAAGGCTTAAAAAAACTTTTCATTTTTTCCCCTCCCACAGAAGATATCTGTCCTCCTCACTCAGCATTTTTTTTGGGGGGGGAGTGGGGGGAGGAGGAGAGATCTTACCAATTGGAAATCATGTAGCTGCAAGGCTAAAATCCAGGACTCTGAAAAAGCAAGTACTGTACTGTTATAGATGCCCCATATTGCTTATTTTAATAGCTTGTGTCTCATTCCAAAGCATTCCAGTTGATGTAGATTTCACAGCTCAGGACTGTACCTTATTTTATTTTATTTTATTTTATTTTGCAGTTTTGATCCTTGGGCATTTTTTAAGTGGTTGAATATATTAAGCCAATTTTCTTCTCTTTCCCAGCAAGACTGGTTATCCCCTCTGCCTGCTTCATGCTGCTTGCGTGTGCCTTGGCTCTTGCTATTTGGCACTAAGTACATGCATTTCCTTTCTGTGTAAATTCTTTTACTTTCATGGTGTGTGCGATTTGGTTTACTTTGCAGAAGCTTTGGAGAGAAGCAGAGAAATACTTGTTTTAATCCCTTGGAAACCTCTCTCCTTCCGCAGCCATAGCATTTTACATGGGTTTTTTTTTTAGCAACTGTATTTTTGGTTTGGCGGGCTGTTGATAGCCACTTCTTTTATCTCATTTCTCTCCACACCAATGTACGCCCCCAAACCCAGAAAGTGCGAAGTTTTTCTCCCTCTCCCCTCTCCATTTCCCCAGCAATTAGGTCTGTGTTGTTGGAATGCTCCTTTGGGCTCCTGTGAGAAGGCAGGCTTCCTGCTTTCTTGTCCAAATATTCAGTAGGGAACATCTCGTCCGGAGCTCATGGAACAAGTGAGCAAAGCTTGCTGGTTTAATAAGGAACAGGGAAAAAGAGAAAGAGATGACCAGAATTATATGAACCTTTTAAAAAATCAAAACAGAAATTGAGTACATGCACATACTTGGAAGCAAGAGCTAGAAAGGGCTAGAAGAGCAGGCATCTCCAAACACCCCTATTGTACCTAAAATGGAATGTAGATTCCCTGGTTCTGCACCCAGAAGCTGATTTCAGCAGGTACTGTGCCTCTGATCACTTTGATGTTCTTGTGCCTCTTCAATAGTTCTGTGTTGTTTTTTCAGATATTTGCTGGTTTTCAAAGAGAGATTTTCCTGTTATGTTTGAAGTAGCTAATTGGGTAGCAAAACACTGATGAAACAGGATGACTTAATGCTCTTGTAATGCTTTTTTGCTGCTCTGCTTCTTCTGTACTAACAGAATCTGCTTATTTGAACAGTCAAGAGTCGTAGTGCGTTATGTATATGAATTGACATATACTGTCCTGGGAATTTCATCCTTTAGATAGCATCATTATTTTAAGTTCCCATTAAGGAAGGTTTAATTATCCATTTATAAAATAGGCTTTGCACTGAAATTATTTAGCTTGAATAGGAACAGGTTCACTAGTAATCACAGTACATATTTTAGACTAATAAATTCTTTTTTAATCCATGAGGTAATTCTTCTCACCTTTTTTTTTTAAAAAAAATCTCTCTTGAAAATATTAGGCCTTCTAAAGAGAAGCTTCAGTAATAAATGTTTGTATTCAACAGCTTATTCCTGATTATGCAAACTTTTCACTCGAGTGGAATGGACCATTTTGAATGTGTCTTCTCCAGGCTGAAGTGACATCCTGCCTGAATTTGTCAGTGTGCTCTCATATCTTAGGCATGTGTAGCTCTTCACACCTTTCAAGTGTTGTTGGTCTACAACACCCATTTTCCCTGACTATTGGTTATGCTGGTTGGGGCTGATGGGAGTTGGAGTCCTACAACATCTGGAGAGCCTCAGGTTTCTCACTTTTGGTTTAGCGTGACATGCAAACATACCCACTGTCTTTGGGTTACTGAGCAGCCCTATGGTATCCAGCAGCATAATTATTTGTGCCATCAAAGTTAAAACATGTTTTGGTACTTTGCAGTCAGGTAGAGTTGCCTCATCAGGGACGCGGGTGGCGCTGTGGGTTAAACCATAGAGCCTAGGACTTGCCGATCAAAAGGTTGGCGGTTTGAATCCTCATAACGGGGTGAGCTCCCATTGCTTGGTCCCTGCTCCTGCCAACCTAGCAGTTTGAAAGCATGTCAAAGTGCAAGTAGATAAATAGGTACCGCTCCGACGAGAAGGTAAAGGGCGTTTCCGTGCGCTGCTCTGGTTCGCCAGAAGCGGCTTAGTCATCCTGGCCACATGACCCGGAAGCTGTACGCTGGCTCCCTCGGCCAATAAAGCGAGATGAGATCTGCAACCCCAGAGTCATCCACGACTGGACCTAATGGTCAGGGGCCCCTTTACCTTTACCTTAGAGTTGCCTCTGTGCCTTCCTAATTAGAAAACACCCATTTACTATTAATAGTGGTTGACACATATTTTGCCTCTATGACTTGTAGGCCAAAATGGCTATATCAGGGGTAACCATCATGGTGTCCTTCAGATGTTGTTGGGCTAAACAACTCCCATTAGCCCTGGCAAGCAGGTCCAGTGGTCAAGTATGATGGAAACTATATCCCCACATCTTCTGGAGTACACCACAGTGGCTAACCTTGGCATATAGGTTGGCTTGCAAGGCTGTGCATCTCAAACAGCTCCTTGAAAGATGAGCTCCTTTTGTAACAGGACTGTGTTCCATGACAGTGGGAACAGGGATCAGCCCATGATGTAGGGGCCTAGGGTTAAGTTCAGTAATGTTGTTGGAATACTAAGTTTGTGGTGCGAAACATCCAAAGCTGCAGTTCCAGACAAACATACCTGGAAGCTAGCCCCACTGATGTCAATGGCACTTTCTTCTGAGTACATAGGATTACACTATTAATCTAGGATTGTATTTCCCCCCCATCTACCTGGGAAAATAATGATGTTAAGTGCTTACTAGAGGTATGCATGAAGTCAACTGTCAAGCTGGCTATTTCAAAATGAAGTGCAGTTTCTCAACTCTGCAGCCAGCTGCATAGCTAGCCGCTCGGGTGCCAGGGCAGGGTGCACCACGGAGCCTACAATGAGTCTGTCCGCCGCATCCCCCTCAGCTTTAGGGTGGCTGAGGGGGAGGCATCGGGCAGACACAAGCTCCATGTTGCCATTTTGGGCAGCGCAGAGCCGGCAGGTGCCCGAGCCACTGCGTCACTCCCAGGAGAGATGTGTGGCTCGGGCGTGCTGTGGGCCCTACACTAAGTGCCACCCTCTGATGTGTGGTGACCAGTGTACCCTGCCCCCTAGCTATGCCTCTATTTGCAGCTCCAGGTCAAATGCAGTTCTCCTTTCTGTCTTCTCAGGACACTTCAGAGGACTGAAGAAGGGGCCAGATGGAGGAGTTAATCTCCCAAACCCTTCTGGTTCCCCCTTGCTTGCTGCCTTCTCATTTACTGTTTTCATAAACCCAGTTTCTACCCTTCATTCCTAGACCCTTCTGTATCTCTTTTGAATCAGAGTACCTCAGATGAATGAACCATAGCTGAGTAAGAGAGCACATGCTTTGCATGCAGAAGGCCTTACCTTTAGCTCTGGCATCTCCTGCCTGAAACCCTGGAGAGATGCTTTCAGTCAGTATATGCATCATAAAGCTAAATAAACCAATGGTCTGACTTGGTGTAAAGCAGCTTCCTACATTCCTAATGGTATCCACAGATGCTTCTACTCTTTACCACTCTGACATAAGGGCACCTCATTCAATCACACCAAAAAACTCATCACTTTTACAATGTAGTTTACATAGAATTCCATTGTGTCTCAAAAAAACCGGTTGAATTTTGTCAAGTACTTTTCACCTCTCACCTTTGTATCTGTCAATTC